ATTTACATTGTTCAAACTGTTGTCCTCATCTTTATTGCCATTTTCATGATGTTTCAGTCATTGTAATAAAGGGTTCAGTTTGAAATTCAATTTCAAGCAGGGGTCACCAAAGTGGTTGATATTGACCCCTAGGGGCCAATAAATGCTTGGTGAGGGGATCAGAATGGTTGAGAAATAAATTGTACATTACGATTAAAAGCTCATTATTTTGCAACTATATATCAATGTCCTTGCTGCTGGTAATCAAACACAACCTCCCCATTAATGATGTCAGTCAATTCAGTAAAAAGGTGTATTTATTTACAATGCGTTTCTAACTATCTATATTATTTATGATGAATTTCTCATTATTTTTATTCAAACAAACATGTCTGGTATAGGAAGAGAAATAGAAATTGAAAAAGCATTAACAAAACGTAAAGCTAAAGTGGAACTTTTGTCTATATTTCTGAGATGAAGTATTGTAACTATTTACACTATTTACATTGTTCAGACTGTTGTCCTTATCTTTATTGACATATTCACCAATGTTTCAACCGTTGCACGCTCCGGCCTTCTTCAGGTGATATATGTTGGTATTTCGCGCTGATCCCTTTATTTCATCCACCAGGGTAGATTGTTCTAGTTCCATGTGCTATGCCTTTAGGTTTATAAGTTCCAATAATTCATACACTGATGTTCCTAAGGACATATGACCCAGTGGATAAAAGAATTGGTTGAAGTAATCCAGTGATGTGACCCAAAGAGTTGAGAGTTCAATACCTGGCCACAGCAGAGGTGAACAAAAACTTGGAGAGTTGAGTTACTAAAGGGAGATAACTGAAACTGAAATATCTATTGTACATGGAACTATGAACCCCAGTGAACAAAATAATGTGTTCAGTTTGAAATCCCAACATATATCACCTGAAGAATGCCGGAGTATACAATGGCCGAAACGTCATGAACATGACAATAAAGATAAGGACAACAGTCCAAACAATATATATATATAGTGTAAATAATTTTCAATTTGGCATTGAATGACATGTTTTTAGTAATTGACATAATGTTTATTGATGTCATAAAAACAAAACTGATTCTTTTATAAATAAAAATACTATTAACATATCAGATGAAGTGGATTTATTCTCAAACCTGTCGAAGCATACCACTTCAATTCATTCTCTACTTATCTTAAAATTAACAGTTGTTGAGAAGGTAATAAAAACATGGCAGTATGTTTTATAGTTTGAAAGAATTTCAACAATCTGCAAGAAAGAATTTAAAGGGAGATTAACTTTCGTGCCTGCAAAAAAATGATATGTCAAAACAACCGTTTTTCTCTTGACACTGCTATTATTTAACTGACGTCACTCCTAGGCAATATTTATTGCTTTAAAAAGTGATGATTAGAATTGGAATAAAACCTAAACACATGATCAAACTGAGTTTATACATTTTCTTTGTCCTTGTGAATTTAAAACAAAAATAATAAGCACTATTTATTTATTAGATTGTTTATTGTAAATGTTGGCAAAACATTAGCTAATTGCCAAACGATTTCGACTTTATAATAAGGATTTCCTAATCATTGGTTCACATATTTTTGTGATGTCAACAAACACTTGTTACCACTTTTGTAATGCCAATGAATACTCGTTGTCTCTTTTGTAAAGCTCGTTGTAGTAGAGACTTTATAATCACAGATACAAGTATAGTACGCTGTTGAACAATACTGGTGTCAGATGCCTTTGAATAACACTCGCACTAATAGCACTTGTTTGATAATACTTGCTCGATAAGTAACCACTAAATGGTAATCCATGTTGTGATAGAGAATAGCGTAGAGAAGAGAATTGAGAACTGTATAGTAATGGACAATAGAGTAGAAATTGCGATCTGAATAGTAATAGAGGATAGAATAGAAATGGTGATCGTTAGTCGTCAACTACTTCCTACATATATGTGTTTCCTCTATGGTCACATGGTTTACTTAATTTAATAATGGGATTGCCTGTATTTGCTCACTGGTGATCTATGTTCAAACTCAAGTGATGGCAGCAACACTTTATTCCTATATAACACATATTTTAATGATTTAGTAAATGTTTGTAAAGAAGAAATTGTTTACATATTTATTTCTTTATAAATTGGTAAATGATAAATATTGCATTGCATTAGTTTTAATACAATTGTATTAGGTCTTAAAATGTTGCAAATATAAAATTGTTCTTGTAAAAATAATTTGTTTAATATTTTTGTTGTAAATCCTCAGGAAAAAAAAATGTATAAATTCATTTTCACCATATGTTTAGGTTTTATTACAATTTTAATCATCACTTTTTAAAACAAACATTGCTGAGGAGTGAAGGTAGTTAAAAATAATAGCGGTGTCAAGGGAAAAAACCATCCTTTTGATGCTCCATTTTTTTGTGGTCACAAAAGTTACAGATTGCTGATGGAATATTGCTATACATAATGAAGTAGTTTGATTTTGACAGATGTAAGAGACAACTGGATGGATGAGTAACAATGTCCTAGTTACAAAACAGTGACGACTGTTTTATAACCTTTATTTAATGCATCAATCAATTGATTAACATGTGGCTGATGCTGCTCAGTCATGCACTTTCTAAAAGATTTATATGGATTGAAAGATGAAGCAAAAAGGAAAATAAAAAGGGGGGAGATAAAAAAAAAAAAAAGAGTGCTTCTTGCAGAGGGAATGTAAAAATTAATTCCTAACTTAATTTTTTAAAATTTTCTGTTGTAGAGTGTACTTCTTGCTCTTCCCTACTACTGTGACAATGGACTGCTCCTACTTATGTATATGGCAAGTAGCTACAGTAGAGTAGGATTTGAGTAGTATTTGATTTACTCAAATTTTTCTGTTCTATGTATGAGTATTTAAGAAATATCTTTTTCTTTGTTTCCTCTACCTAATCTTCTGTTTCTTTGATACTCTCTCTAACCATGGCCTTCTTAATTCTCGGCCATTTTGAACAAAGACAAACTTACAACTGTTTCATATTAATATTAGAAATACCTTTGTTTTATTAAATTATGATCATACAACATTTTAAAATTTTTTTTGGTCATTTTACCCAAGGCAAGGCACTAAAGCCACTAAGATGCAAGGGCTTATTGAGTCAGAAAGAATATGAGGAAAATAAAAGGTGATATACTACATCTGGCAGCAAAGCCTTTGATTGGAAGATAAGAGGATTTGAGGAGCACAGAAGCACCTCTTTATCATCATCATCCTTTGACCTCCCTATGTTTGGTCAGAATTCCACTGAAAATCCTTTTCCAGTCCTGCATTGCTGTATCCAGACCCCCAATGTCCAACCCAAAGTCCTGAGCTATGGTGTCTGGGAAAGTCAATTTTCATGAAAAGACACTTCCAGAAGGATACCATAGGGGTAAGAATGAGACAATTTCCCTGTCCCCTTACTTCTAGGGCATCTCTTAACTGCTGCTGTTCCCAGTTACACACTGAACTGAGGTTGTAGTACCTGTTGGGGTCCCAGCTATGGGCAAATAGTGAACCCCCAAACAAAAATGAAAAACATTACATTTTTATAGCAAAATGACAATCAATACAACACTAAAAAAGTATAAAAATACATTTTTATAGTAAAATTACCAACAATACCTTTTATGATCTACAAACTATATATTTAAAAACATACATTTATTCTGAAAGTATAAATTTATGTACAAAATATCTGTAGTTGAAAGCATAAAAATTACGCACAAGATATTGAGATTTCAGTATTAAATAACCCATAGAGGTGTTGATATGCCACCAAACAAAATCAACCAACTAATTTTATTAATGAGAGAGAACAATAAAAGAACAGGCGACACAAAATAACAGTTGACATTGCATTTAAATTTTAGAAGACAAATATTGATTGGAAACCAAGAAGATGGAACAGATTTCTACAAGCGAGAAGTGTGAGAAAAGAAACTGGAAACTATGTGTAGGACTGAACACAAGGCCATCACTGTTGAGGTCCCAATGAGGATTAAACTCAGCAGTAATGGTCTAATAGGCTATCTTGCTAACACCTATTTCAATCGGAGTATTTACTAGCTTAGTCTGGCACAAGGCCACCAGTGTTGGGGCCCTGATGAGGATTGAACTCACTATGCAGGAGTAATGGTCTGCTAGATTATCTTGCTAACACTTATTTAATTGGAAATATTTACCAAGCTTTGTCTGGCATGAGGGCATCACTATTGGGGCCCCAACGAGGACTGAACTTACTATGCAGTAGTAATGCTCTGCTAGATTATCTTAGCTAACACTTATTGGGTCTATTTATTAAGCTTAGTCTGGCACAAGGCCAAACCTCTACTCCTGTTCAAAAGATGGGGGAGGAGTGTGAACCGGATGGTAGGTAAACCTATCTAATACTATTTGGTGACGTAATTATGAGTTCAATATCAGGGCTGGGTAGTGAGTACTTGGACTCAGTGGAAATGGGAAAGCAATAACTAAGCAGTACTAAAAATAAGAACTAGATGAGATATCCCTAGACATGGGCAGTGAAACGAGAACAGTCTACCCCTGTAGATTAAATAAAGGGTTCAATTAGGAATTTCCTGTAGGCTACCCAGATTGAGATACACCTGCTGAAGGCCAGAGGACACAACGCCCAAAACCTTATGATAACAACAACAAAGATGAGGAAAATAGTCAGATTAAACCTAAATCCTACCTATGATAACACAAACTAAATAAGTAGCTTATTTTACTATTTCTGCCTGAATTTCTTGGATAAGGAGTTATTATTTTCATTTGGTCTGTTGTCATCATCTTTGTTGTTTTTATCACAATGCTTCAGCCATTGTGCCCTCTAACCTTAATCAGGTGTATGTTGATTCATGTAACATAGTGAATTTTGAAGGGTTCAGTTGAAGGAGAAGGACAGTTGCCCGCATGTAAATAATGTTAATATTGTTAGATTTTACTTATTAACTCAGTATGAATTTGGTTAAAGACAACTTAC